TTTTTTTCCCCTTCCCCCCCCCCCCCCCTCTCCATCGTAGGAATTGACATATTTCATTACCTGCTAAATCCTGTGATGGGTGGGTCAAAAGCGAGGCGGACCAATTAAGACCTGGACTAATACAGTTAGGAAAGATTTTTAATGTGAATCAGCAATATGGTTTTAGACAATGGAAAAAGGCTTCTATTATTATCAACGATGAAGTCGGGTCGAAGCTTGGAGATATCTTAACCCTGTAGCAAGCGGAGCCAGCCTAACCAGTAATGGCTCTTAGAAGAATTTTTATGAAATTCTGCTAGTTGGGCTTCAATAGACGTATTTAACGGATAATACGAAAAATATCTTTTTAGGACAAAAAACTACATATTTTATGAAGAGTTTCATAAAGAAGTAATCGTTTTAGCATCAAGGAGTAGCGTTTTTGCTGGCTGATATGGCAATAAATTTGGAATTAGCACGCCTGGTGACCTATCGTGCAGCAGTTGATGTAGATAACAAAATGGGCTCATCTTATTTCGCTTCAATTGCTAAATGTTTTGCTGCTGATACTGCGAATATTGCTGCTTCTAATGCAGTACAAATCTTCGGCGGTAATCTTTTTTGTTTAAATTTGATTTTAAAGTGAATTTATATATCTATATTTAAAATATACAAAGTCCACAGGAATTACAAAATCGCAAAGGTAATGATCAGTATGAAATTGCGCAATATCAAGAATTTTCTATTTTTGCTTTGACGATGGGATTTTTAGATCAGTTTTTAATGCATTTATTTAAACATCTATAACTATTCAATAACTAGAACAATTGGAAAATTTGTTAAAAGAAACAATCGAGATTAAGCTCAAGAAAAAACATCAAATTATATCACGAAAATTTTTTCTTCGGTCTTATAGTCTTATGGTGCAATAGTTATACAGTGATGTCAATAACTTTGTTCAACTGTCTTTTAAATTTATGTGATGATACCGCCTTTTGAGGTAATTAAGGTAATTTTAAAGTAATTAAGATAATTAAACGAAATAATTATAAAATTTTAAAATTTTATAAATTATAAAATTATAAAATTTTTATGTTAATATCGATTCCTTCTCAATCTTAGTAAGTCTAAGCTAGTTTCAATTTCAGTTTCAATTTTGCTTTATAGTTGATGGTACTATTGTAAACTATGGTATCAAGGTGAAGATTTATAAGTATAGTTTATTTATGATACTTTTCAATAAAAAAACTAAAATTACCTTCCATTTCGATATGGTCGAAAACTAAAATTTAACATTTTAAAGGATTTCTTCATTGTTGATAGATCTTGTTGATCATATTTTATCCAAAATTAAATTAAGATTTGAGATATTTATGAAAATTGCAAAAAGTGATTGATTTCGAATTTATTTGTGCCTTCCAAGATCTGCCATGAAAATAAATTTTAACATCGTTATCACTAAGGTAAATAGCGGGAATAACTTATTATTTATATATATATATATAAAATTATAAAAAACAAAGGGATTATACAAGTGCATTGAAGCATGAGTTGACGGGTTCCATCTGGGAAGACATTCATTGATACATTATCCATATCCATTGTTATCTTGATATCCTTGATATCCATTGTTGAGAATTTCATTTCTACTTATATCCATATGTAAAAATCTCTCGCACCTTAATTATTAAATGATTGCAAACAATTCAAACAGTATTAAATATTCCATTTTACCGCAGTCATTGCACTGTGGCCAATTATAAAGGTAAGTCATTAGTGTAATAAATTCTTTTATGTAGAAATCATGTTGATAAGTTGATAAGTGATTAATGTGATTACTCAAGTTATTTGCCAGCAAAAATTATTGTTTCATTCTTAACCAAAATAAACCAAGTCAATAAAAAATATAACAAAAAAAGTTTCAAATAGACCGAGAAATGGTGAATCCACCCTAAATTCGGGCATTTTTTTGTTTTATTAATGCTCCGCTATTGATATATATTAATATCAATATTAATATTATGATAGGATTCCAAGGATTTCTGGTTAGAATGTGATTTTGAATGTTGAAATGGATTTCTATTTAAAAAATATAAAAAACTGATTTTCGCATGTAAGCGCTTAATATTTTTGAAAAAATTGAATAAAAATTCTATATTTCTATAATATTTAAAATATTAAGGTAATGGTTTTAATTGTGAATATCCAGTCGAAAAACTTATGCGCGATGCGAAAATTTATCAAATTTATGAGGGAACAAGCCAAATTCAGCGAATTGTTATATCTCGATATTTATTGCAAAAAATCGCAACAACTGGATGTGCTTCATAAATAATGATTTTTGCAATTTTCCGCTGATTTTTTTTATTTCTTTGATCTGTTTTTATATATTCATTTGGTTGATGTGTTATTTCACAGAATGCTTCCATGTGTTATCTCACAGAATACTTATATCAGTTAAACCATTCGTATTGTCATTGATTACAGGTTTGATCACTAGTGGCCAGTCAAATTTCTCTGTTTGTTTCTCTAGTCAAGAATTAAATTGAGCAAGAACAACAGCAATGATAAGATGAATGACCGGAACTTATTTCGTTCGAATAAAATGAATGAGGTTGAAACTGCTTAAAGCATAACACCATAATATTATCATAATTATCATAATGAAATACAAATAATACTGTGCCATTATTCCCGCTTTAAAGCCCATCAAAACCAGTTCCTCGATGGAATAAAGTGGCTCCAAACGTATTCGTGGTATCCATTTCAAAATATCTCCCACTTCGTTGTAGTTTTCTTTAAAATGATCACTGATGTGGTGAAACATAGTAATATTGTACTCTATCCAAATAAATTTTAGTTATAAATTCGCTATATAAATTTTGATTGTTGACTGATTAGAAATCGGTCAATTCCGAAGTAAAAAATCTTTTAAGTTCGCCACTGAATATTAATAGATATTAGAATGATAAGGCATAAATTAGGAAATACCTGGTGAATGAGATTGAATATAAAGTAGAAAGCTGCAAGTCCAGCTGGTCGAGAAATCCTAATGAGTGAAACGAATTCTAGTATAGATATGAAACCAGTAGGGAAACAAGCAGGTCATGCCCCTCAATGGCTGAAATATACGATGACGAGGCTGTTTCGCCAGAGACGTTGATATTGTAGGGCATTATTTTGTACAATGTTTATAATTCATTTATGAAAAAACAGCACTGAATTAGGAAACACCAATTAAATAGGACAGGTAATAAATAAGCTGTTCAAATTTACGAAATTTATCAAATTAAATTAAACCGAGAAAGATGGAATCTCAGGTTTGATAACCCCGACTAAAAATGCCATTTTCCTTTTCTTTTGAACCAATGTTACTTCGAATCTGTCTACCTATAATAGATATAATTCTACTTACTTTACGGCTTTGAAGCATAACTTATGACAATGGAGGAAGCCATTTACCAATAACTATTCTTGTATAAGGTATATAAGTATAATAAGTAAAAATTAAAAAAATGCAGTGGTATTACAAATAATAATAAGAAAAATTTATGGATATACTTTTTGATTCATGCTTAACATCTAAGCAGTTAAAGTGCCACGTTCGCTCGAATATAGTTGCATTAATATCAAAAAGCCTTGACTACTCGAATACTAGATTATTACAGAAATAGACGCACATCCTGTTATTTGCAAAATCTTGATGGATAGCATCAATAGCGAAAGCGAGTCAAGATCTGGACTGATACGGTCGGGAGAAATTTTCAATGACAAAGACGACAGAAAACGAAATAGCTTCAATTACTTTTAAGCGTAATATTAAATTGGAAACCTCTTACGATCTTCCAATGCAGCCAATCAAAGTAAATGTTAGGTTCCTGTCTAGACATGGTAACGATAATTTTGCTCCTCGATATCAAGAGGCAACTCTATTTAGATGCGCCTCTATACTACTAGCCCCTTAGATGATCTGGCCATAAGTGTTGAATAAATTGTATGATAGTAGTCAAAGCAAATTTCAAACAAAATCTGCTGCCAGTGTCGGAATCACTTGCAGAACTATCTGCTGAAACTAATCTTTCGACTGGACGAATTGTTTTAAATTTTTATTTTTTTCGCTGTAGCTTTTCTCTACTGCTATTGCTATTGTTACAGCAAGCCCTAAATCTAATCTATATAAGTCAGCCATTTCCATACTAGTATCAGAAGTAATTGCCCAGTTGTCTGAAAAGGCTACCAAAGCATAATGCCAGGAGATCCTGAGTATCAAATGCTTCGAAGAATTACTACTGCAGCACAATGGAATAGAAATCGCTATTAGAGCGATATGGCTTTGAGAATGGAGGCGGCTGCTAATGCGATGTTAAAAATTATTCCATCTTCATCACAAAGCAACTACAAAGAATGGCCAGTGAAATGATACGGGACAGTAATGATGACAGTAATGACGCTGAGGCTAAGAATCGCCTTATAAAATGCAAGGAATTCTTTGAAGCCAAGGTTAACTACGATACGCCATTTATTGTCTCAAATATAGCTGGTTTGCTCATAGAGCCATACGTTTGCAACTACAAATCGACAGCAGAAGTTCAAATAATCTCTGTAATTCATAAGCTTAAGGCCAAAAAAACTTCCGGAAAAGATGGTCTTAGAACTCTTCAAATATTCTCCATCATTGTTCATAATTCGCCTTCAACAAATTCGTCCCCTCTAGTATGGCAAAAGGAAATAACACCAAAAGACTGGAGTAAAGCAATTCTACTTCCAATTCCTAGAAAGGATGACAGGACGTCCCTGCGATAAAGAATAAGCCCACAAGTCCTCGCCATCTGTTGTCTTGGATATAGCTGAATCGCTCGTCCAGCCATGTGCTTGTAGTTGCAAATCAACAGGAGAACAGGAAACGATCTCTATCATCCAGAAATTTAAAGTCAATAAAATTTCTGGAAAAATGGTCTTCAGGTTGAAATCTTTGAACATTGTCCTTCATATCATTCATACTTTCAACAAATGTACTTTCTGGCATGGAAGAAAAATATTACTAGATGACTAGCGCGAAACAATTCTGCTCCCAATTACCAGGAAGGATGACAAGTCTTCGACAATTACCGAGAAATCAGCCTGCCAGACATCTTTGAGAAAATTTTTGCTTTCTTCCTGCTGAATAGATTTATGGCAATAGGACACGCCCCATTTAAGCTAGATTCAGACGGGGACGAGACTGTATAGATCATAATTCACGTTAAAAAAAGGGTAAAATATCGTTTTAAACATCGTCATTTCATCGATTTTGCAGCTGTCTTCACTTGATAGAACAGTGCTTCGAAGAATGTAACGGAAGATCATTCACCTCATAAAGGCATTTTATCAATGTACATCAGAACAAGTTTATGTATATGGAGAACCCACAAGATCGAAATAAGAATTGATGTCCATCAAGGTGCGTCCTTCCCCGAGCAATATCCAACTATGCGATAGACTGGACATCACTTGTCGGCATTCAAAAGGTGTGCAACAAAAGGTGCCACAATCCAGAGCATAATATCAAAAATCTTGAAGAAGCTGATAATGTTGTTCTTTTTGCTAACAGTTATAGCGAAATACTAATAATGCTAAACAATGTGTCAACAACTGTAGCGACAATCGAATTCAGGGCTTATTTCCGAAAGTCAGCCATTTCCATACTAGAATATTGGTAGGAAATGCGGGTATCTTAAGTAACTGTCCAGCTGTCTGAAAAGACTACCGAATGTCTTGAGTATATCAGATGCTTCGAAGAATTATAACTGCTGCATAACGGGATAGAAACCGCTATTGGAGCTATGGTTTGGCCTTGAGAATGGAGACAGCGGTTCGATGAAGCAATAATAGAAAACTATTCCGTCTTCTTCTTAAAGCAACTATAACTATAACTAGAACGATCAATGAAATGGTTAAGGATAGCAATGCCTAGAAGAAATTCTTTATGGCCAAACTTAATCACGATGCACCATTGATTGTTGCGGATAGCTGATCGTTCGTCGAACCATATATTTGTAATTGCGAACCGCCAGGAAGTAATCTCTGTCATCCAGAGGGTTAATGCTAATAAAACTCTCGGAGAAAATAATCTCAGGAACTGTGCGAACTGTTCAAATGTTGCCTTTCAACAATTCTCTGATATGGAAGAAAGAAATAATACCAGATGAATAGAGCAAAGCAATTCTGTTCCCTATATTTACGAAAGATGACAGGATGTACTATAACAATTACCGATTACCAAGGAATCAGCTTATTAAACTCAGCGAAAATTTTTACTTCCGTTCTACTCAATAAACTTATAGTAGTACGAGATAGTAGGATGCGTCGTGGTCAAACTGGATTTAGAATGGGACGCGGTTGTGCTGACCAGATATTCTCGTTAAAAAGAGAACATCGCTTCAAATATTTGTAGCCCACCATCACGGTTTCATTAACTTTGCTGCTGCCTTTGATTCAATTGATAGAATAGTATTTTGGAAAATGATGGAAGTGATGGTAGATTAGAGATCATTCACCTCATAAAATCATTTTATCAACATGCATCCGTATTATGGAGAACTGACAGATCTTTTCGAAATAAGAACTGGTGTTCGCCAATGCTCCTTTTCCTCTGCAATACTCAACTATGCTGGATAATGGGCATCGTTTGTTCGCACTGAAGAGTATGCAAATCAGTCCAGAGCATCGTATCACAGATCTTGAATATGCTAATGTTGTAGTGCTTTTTGCTGCTAATTATGAAGAAATACAAATAATGTATCAACATTATTTAAAGTTCAAAAAGTAATCTGGGTCAATGTAAATAAAATGAAAGACTTTTCATCTTATTTACAAAAAGCTGATAAAATAACTGTTTTTCTGCTTGAGGAAATTAATCCGATTTTAAATATCTTGGATCCAATCTAATCCCTAATAGCCAAGCAAAAGATCATGAAATTACAATCCGGATAACGGTAGAAAGGAATATGTTTTTCCGTTTGATGAAATATTTGTGCAATTGTTATAAAATCAAAAAAAAAACAAAAAAACAAAAGTGTGCTTCTATATAGCTGCATTTTCCTCGATCTTACTATAATGTTTTCGGAAAAGTACGCTTGCGACAGTGAATGAAAACATTTATCGGAAATTTCAGTTTACGATAATAAATGAAAGTAATTATTTAATTATTTAACAGATTCGAAATAAACAGCAAATGTCGAAAAGCAGAGAGGATGAGGGAAGAGAGTTAATAATTCCAAAAAACAACTGATTCTGGGAGCCTATATATTTCCTATATGTGAGTTGGGATTAGTTGGGATTACATATCATGCAGGTGTATAAAATTAGTATTATATAAAAAATAACTTAAATAAATAAAATTTTTTTTTTATCCAAGAGGAAATTTTCTCATAGCTGTTTCTCTGATACATAAATAAGATGGTTTTACAAATTAGCTAACAGATTTGTGAATAAAAAAAAGAAGAAACCGTATTACTATCATTTTTCATTTTCGATTATTTTCGACGATGGGACATGTCTGATGAGAGTAGAATATATTAAGAAGTTATCTGCCTTTGACCACTCAGGTCTACGATACATTTCATGGGTTCGCCAAGCGGATAGAATTTTGGTAGAATAGAATAGCGGATAAAAAATCACATGATTATATCCATCTTTGGTCAAATACCATCTGTATTAATGGCGCCAGCAGCGTCATCTTCGCGTTAGGACATATTATTGTTCCTCTTTCCCCCCCCCCCCCCCCCCCCCCCCCCC